TTGCTCACATGACAATCCCCCCCCCCCCTTTTTTTTACACGTGCTTTTAACACAGCACAAGCCAACTCAGAGGTCACGAGTCGCTTACTGTTACCTTCCTTCACCTCCGGTTTCCTAGACGGACTTCTTCCCATTTCCTGAAATACGTGCCAATAAGGCAATGCAGGTATATGACATCTGGAAATATCTCCTTCCTTCCTAGGAATTCCGAATCGACACCTCCACTCGCATTACATGGAACTTCCCCCACCCCTTCCCCATCCTCAGAAACAATTCCTTTCATTTAACAATGAGATGCACTACATCAACTACAAAGCTAAATTGCAGATACTCATCGATCTACCAGAGTCGATTCGTCGGAAGTCTGATAAGGAAGGAATGGGCTTCTGGAAGTTGGCAAACACGTCGTTCATAGGTCGACTAGAATTTGTCATTTCAATTTCGAACGTACAATCGGATTCGTGTGAATGTGAGTGGAACTTATCACTAGATTTTAGGTATCTATCAGAACTAAATTTGCTACGATAACCCAGAAGTAAACCACGAAATGCCATGAAAACTATCATAAACGACATCTTCAAGAATATGTCATCGTTGTCATTTGCAATGTTACAGCGTTCATTCTTTGAAATTGGGCCAGAGGGGGGGAGGAGGAGGGTAAGGGGGAGGACGGGTCGAAAACTCGTTCAGAGGACTTTGCTGGTTGGATTCAGACGTTTTCCTCATTTTCTGAAAACGATTGTTTAAGATATTCTAAGCGACAACCAGACGATCAGCTTCCTCCAGAAAGAGCAGTTCGATGTCGGCATCTCTGAAGTTTTCGCCCTCTGTGGATTCGGACTTTTTGAGGTTTGTTCAAGCTGCAAGATTGCATATCTGGAGAACTATGAAACAAGGGTGAAATTTAGTTGGTAAAAATTCCCAATATGATTGGTGCATCGGCTGTCGGAGTGATCGACGTCATGAATGAAGCCATCGAAGTACCTATCATGCCGAGTTTCATGCCCTGTAGGTGATCTCAGAGTACTTTTGTCTTTAATTAATTTTTCTTGAAAATTTTTTACCTACAGCCTTCCTTACAACATACGGTGAGAGCATGACCTTTCCACAGCGTTTCTTCAACTTCTTTCTTCACGGCGCTGTCTGGATTGCAACTCAGAATGCTGTTCGCAAATATGAAGTAATTGACGGAATAAGTATGATGATTGGTAACAAGAGCGTTACTTTTACTTGTTATCATTTCAGAGGATTTTCATGAAACATGGCCTTCAAACAAGCCTTCGAGAACTGATAGCTGCTCGTAGTAATTATGTCTTATCTAATTCCGATGAGTTTCTTGACTACGCCTTCCCGACCTCTGGCAAACTTGTTCATGTTGGCGGCATAGCATTGCCGCAGGTGACCAAATTGGATGAGGTAATTCCGTCCATCTTTGAAAAATGCTCCAAAATTTCGTTCACGAAAAAAGAAATGTTTCAAAAAAATTATGCAGAAATTCCGTCTGATAATGGAACGTCACGATAGCAAAGGCGTCGTCCTCATATCGTTCGGCTCAAATGCTCCCACTGTTCAGGTTCGTTCCTCTTGCCACCATCCTTCAAACCGCCCTCATTGCAACAGGAAAGTCCGATCCAATAAAATATTATCCCATAAGACGATGGGTCCCTATATATGGTCAGTCTCTAGTCAAGATATCTCCCTATATGTTGCCTATATCTCTCTAGTTTGCACACATCCCTCGACTTTGAAATCGGTAGCTGGTATAAAAATATTGTTACTGCCACCAACCGAGCCCTCCACCTGATTTGGTGTTGGTGAGACGAAATTACAGAGGTGGCTTACTCCCAGGTGGGCGGAGCTAGCTTATCATCGCTCTGTCGTAGCGCTCTTATCAAGCACTTTCGGAGGCCCGATTGTAGGACATGCTCTGCTGTTGCCAACCGCCCTACCTTGTACAACGAAAGACTCCTGAACATTGGGCAGCTATGGGGGTTGACATCTCCTCTTTGGAGTATTGTTGCTACACTCCTTATCCCTGACACGGAGTAGGCGTGGCATTCAAAGATGGCATATACTGGGCTACTCGTGGGAAATTTCAGTTGAGGCAACTGTCATCTTGTTCTGTGTTGCACAGAGATTTGACAATAGTTGTGTCAAAATGAAAATATCTCCAAAATCGCAGCCAGGGCCGACGTTCAGTTGAAGTACGCAGCCACGCCTACCACATCTCAGGGATTTCGAGTGTATAAGGGGTTTTGAATGCTGCTTTATCGAGTATCACACTAAAATATTTCAGATGCCGAGTAATATTAGACTAGCAATTCTGGACGCAGTAGCCACTTTCCAAAACTACACTTTTATATGGAAAATCGATAAAAACGATACAGTCCCCACAATGAAGAATCTATTCACAACTAGCTGGCTTCCGCAAAACGCACTTCTAGGTATGTTGTGCAGAATCAAATTTTCAAAGCAGAAGAGATATTTTCGTCCAGAAAAATAATTCCGCATCTAATTTCTGTATGTCTGCTCCGTCGGAGCTTCGTTCCCCCACAATTAGACCAATTTGTGATTCCACTTTGTGTTATCTCGGTTAGGCCCGGACTTAGTACAGCATAAGGGCACGTCGTTCGTTGGGATCCCCAACAAGGTGGGGCAAATTCGATCTGTGGAGCGCTGGTGTCGTATTTTTTGAGAAGAATTTCTGTCGGTGTACTATACCTCCCTCCCCTCTTGGCCAGCAGCGCCATAGAAGTGCTATTGCTGATGGTTGCTCTGGTTTTTCTAACTCCTCTCCCTCCCCTACACCGCTCGTCAGCTGATTTCTGGTGAAGTTTGACAAGGTGTTTGATCAGTTGTGGAAACGGTTGCACCGACGGAGGAGGAAATTTCGGG